AAGAAGGCCAAGGACATTTCTTCCCTCCTGGGAAACCGTAGGGTGCACGGAGCTGAGCTCTGGAGCCCTTCCACTGCCTTGGCCAAATGTCCCCTGTGCCATGTCCTCCTGCCACCCAGGCCCCAGGAGGAGGCCCCATCCGGGGCAGCGCCCAGACTCCTGACCACTTCTGATCTCCCCTGCCATAGTCTCTCCTTTCTGCTTGACCTATAGCCTCTATCCTTATGGGGGACTAAGTGACAGCTGACGACTTTTGAGATCTGCCCCCCAAACTGATCGATCACCTACACCACTCTAGCAGACCAACCCTCTCAGAGAGGCAGTCTGCGTTGGGAACTGTCTCTGCCACGGACCAGGTCATTGCCACTTATTGTGCCTATCATTACCATTCCAGGGCCTCTGTCTTTAAAGCACATATAGAAACATGATATTTTGATACAAAACTAGAAGCTCTAATAGAGAATCACAGGCTTGAAAGAAATCGTAGGATTTCCACTTCTCATGGATCGCCTTAAGGCGACAGAAGCTCTGGGTTTGTTGTTTGTAGAGATGTCGCATGCAGCGGCCTTGCCTAGACCATTGCTCAGTCGGCCCAGATTCAGGGAGCTTGACCAGAGTACGCCACTTTCTACCTAGTTGTGGGAGGAAGGCTCAGTCGCCGCCCTCATTGGCCTGAAGAACAAAAGGAGGGACAAGGAGAGTCACCATCTCCGAGCCGGGCAGTGAGCACAAGTCCAGGGGTATGAGACTCAGGGCAGAAGTGAGGTCACTCCCAGAAAGCCCAGGGTCAGAGGCCTCTGTTGTCCTCATTGAGACTCTGGGAAGCCCCATAGCAGGAAGCAAATACTGTCACCACCAGCTTCAAGCAGAGGGACTAGAAAGAAAGGCTTGGGATGGGCTGTTTCATCCAGCTCTGTGATCGGCCCACCTAACAGAAGCCCATGCAGTTAAGAAAGGGCAGGAGCCCTGGCGGTCCCTACCTGTTGTTCCAGCAGCACCTGTTCCAGATGTTCTACCTTATCTTTCCGAGATACCACACCATGATTTGGGGACACGGCCAGGTGACACCTCTCGGCCTCAGTCACAGGCTTCCGGCTGCCATCAAGACACAGCAGCTCAAAGTCCTCCACCTTCAAATCCTTAGCCCATGCTTCAGTGCTCTTCCCTGGGGAGAGAAAGAAGGTGGCATCAGCCATGGCTGCCCAGCTTGGTCAAAGGGTCGTCCTTCTTTCCAAGTAGGTGTGACCATCCACTGGCCTCTTGAAATGCACATACTGGGATTGCAATGAAGTGAAGGAGGAGGAAGCTTTGTCCTGCACAAGCTACACGAACTTCAAACATATCAAACATTATATCAAACTTATCAAACAATGCTGTATCCACACAACGAAGTAGAATTCAGCCATAAAAAAGAGTGAAATACTGATAACACACTACGATATGGGTGAACCTTGAGGACATCACGCTAAGTGAAGGACGCCAGACACAAAAGGCCACTTATTGTAGGATTCCGTGTATGTGAAACGTCCAGAATAAGCAAATCTAGGGAGACAGAAAATGAAGGGATGGCTGTCCGCTCTGGCTGAGAGGGCAAGTGACCGCTAACGGGGACAGGGTTTCTTTAAGGGGTTCCATGAGCGTTCTGGAATCGGACTGTGTTGGTGGTTGCCCAACTCTGTGAATGTGCTGGAGACTGCTGAGTTGTACGGTCTGAATGGGTGGATTTTACAGTATGCGTATTCTATCTCTCTAAAGCTGTTAATTTTTTTTTTTTTAATTTTTAAGAAGAAAACCTCCAGCTGTGCCATATATGCCAGTGAGTTTCAGAAAAAGAACAGCTGGTTTGTGTTCAAGAAGAAATTGTTTTCCTCTTTCTTTCCTATTCAAATGCTCTGAGTGTAACCAGAGCAAAGAGAGGAACTTCTAGGGGTTTATCAAATAGATTTAGTCAGTGCCGATACAGGACATTTGTAAAATCCCACAGAAGCTTATTAATTAAATTCGACATCAATCCGATCCCTGGAGATCACTTAGGTTAACGGTTCATGAATCTGAAATGGAATCGCACGCACGTCTGTGTGTGTGCAATGCAGGTTCATGGTTCAGGCCCCCGCTTCTCGCCTTCTGCCCTGTCCCCGCGAGAAAACGCCCCATCCACTCTCGTGGCTTTGTCTGCTTGACACTGAGGTCACTGCAGATTTACATGTCTGGCCTCAATCCCTCTCCCAAGAGACATGAGGAAGGAGAGGCCGCGACTGTCGATGTCTTTGAAGGAAGGAGGCAGAAAGTTGAGACAGTTTTTTTCTCAGGGGAAAACTGCAAGTCATCGGCTGAGGAGGCGGGGTGGGAGGCTGCGTGAAGACAGAGCAAAGGGGCACAGTTCAGGAGGTAGCAAATGGCTAGGAGTCCTGAATTTGGTCATTACGATTTTCATCTAGACATCAGAAGAGAGAGTGATTATTAGGCATTGGCTGCATGTGCCTGTGATGTTGGCCCCATTCACTCCCAAGGAGTTTCCAAATGGGAGATTCTCTGGGGCTGAATGGGGGCCACTACTTATCTTTCAAAAAAAGGGAAATTTTATTTGCATATGTTTAATTTTTTTTTAGCATCATCCACACTCAGTTTCCCATAGGCTGGGAGAGGCAGATGTTGTGCTTCTACAGTCGTCTACACAAAACCAGGAAGATATTTGCTACTGGGTACTGC